AAACCCTTATCTCCGGTGCCTTGTTCTAGCGGGAACATGTGGGGGCGGGAGCCACCCGGCTGCCAGGAGCCCACGTCCCCATGTCCCCACATCCCTGCTGCTGCCTCGGTCTGGTCCCATGCTGCTCCTCCTGCCTGGCTCCAGCCAGCCGGCGGAGCCCAAGGGTTTGGGTTTAAATTGGGGTTATTCCTCGTGGGAATGCAGGCGGGGGGGGTGATTGCCCATCCAGGTGCTGGGGACGCTGCCTTCACCTTCTGCCCCTCAGCAGCCTCCTCCCTGCCTGCGCACACGCCCCAAGGTTTGGGGAGTGGAGGGCTCACAGCACAAGTTGGGAAACTCCTTCCGCAGAGCAGCACATGGCAGAGGCTAAAAACTCAGCTTAATGGGGAGAGCAGGATTTGCAGAGGCTTTCTGCACAGGGATAGAGACTCCGCCAGGCCCCAGGCGAAGGACGGACGGAGTATTTCACAGCAAGGAGTAAAAAGAGAAATATCTTTTTTTAATTACAGATAAAAGCCTCTTATGTTTCTAGAGAGCAGAAGGCAGCCCCAGCACGGGACAGGCACGCAGGTGGGTAAAAACACTTGGTGCCAGGAACCCAGAGCTGCTGCAGAGCCCTCATCTTCCTTCTCATCATCATCATCATCTCTCTCTCCTCGGGCTCCCACAGTCAGTAGCAGTGAGCGATGGTCTCCATGTTGAGGAAGCGGACGTGCATCTTGGTCTCGATATCAATCCCCTGCCACATCTGCAAGGAGAAGGGGGTGAGAGGGGCCGAACATCCACCTGGCACCCACCTCCTGGGGAGACGAGCAGAGATGGCACCGACCTTAAGGAAGTCTTCGAAGGTGATGCCCTCATACACCTGGTCCGGCCCCTGTGTGCGGCGAGAGAGAAAATATTACAGCTGCCCACACTGACGGGGCAGGGGCCTTGGGGCACTGGGTGGCCAGGAGCTGGGTGTCATGGGGCTGTGGGACACGTCTCCCACGGGCGCACAGCGCCGGCCCCATGTCTTGCCCCATGGCCAGCCCAAAATTAGTCCTCAGAACCACCTTGGCTGCAAGGAGCTGCTGTTTTTATACACAGTGAAGTCCCAAGCATTGAAAATGGTGCTTTATGTGGTGCTTAACCCCTTGGGATAAGCAAAAAAAACCCCAGACCACCCTGAAATCTTCTGCCTGCAAAAAAAATCTCCAGCCAAAGCAGCCTGGGGATAGGAAAGGTGCCCCAGGCAGGACGGAGGATGCTTTCCAGCCCCGTTTTCTGCTGCCGTCTGTGCATCTCTGAGCAAGGAACCAGCTCCCACCATTTGTCCCACACAGATGCTGGCTGCCTCCATCATGGCCCCGTCAGCGATGGACCGCGCCGACTCCTTTTCCAAATGGGGGTTCCCCGACAGCAGCTCCTCCACCACCTACGAGGCAGCGGGTCAAAGCCGGGGCTGGGAATTCGGTGGTGACAGGGCGGGAGGGACCATACGTTACATTTCTGTACTCCTGCAGCGTGATCTTCCCGTCATGGTCTGAGTCGTACATGTGGAAGAGGACTGGGAGGGACGAGAGAAGCAGGGCAGGGTCAGGGGAGCCCCTTCCCACCATTGTCCCCCCCACCCCACCCCAGCCCTTTGGGCAAGCCTCACATTTGAGTTTCTCTTTCCGGAAGCGGTCAAGCTGCTCCTCGTCCATGTTCATCTCGATGGGTCTGAAGTAGGACATGATGGTCAGGAAGTCTTCGAAGTTTATCTCATCTGCCAGCCCATCCGACTCCTGACGCAGGTTCCTGCCCAGAGCGGAGGCGACGGTGACGGGCAGCCAGGGATCCCCCCGCCCGCTCACTCCCACACCCCCAGCAAAGCTTTAGGACTGTTTATTTGACTCAGTGTCTGTCATTTTTACCCTGGCCCCACCCCAGCCTTTAGGGAGCAGATCTTTGCCCAGCCACGTCCTGCTTTCAGCGCACAAAGCTATCACCCCGAACCCTCCCCACGGTGCAGGGGACGTTCTTACCGCTTGTCGAAAAAGGCGTGGACAATTTTCCCCCTAATCGGGTTGAATTCCAGATCGGGGATGCTGTCAAAATTCTCCTTGCTGCAAAGGAAACAGAGACAGCCCGAAGCGTGAGGGAGCTGTGGAGGAGGAAGATGCTGCAGCGATCACTGACGGGCTGGGGCAGAAGCCTTGACCTCATTCTTTCAAAGCAATAATCAAAAAATAAAAAAAATATTTGGCATGAAAAGCCCTATCTGCCTCAGTTCAGAGGGAAAGCAAGCCTCCCTGCCGCATCGGTCTGTG